AATCCATATTGCGATCAACAATTACTGAATAATTTTTTATAAAACATTATTGTAAAATAATATACAAAACATAATTGTAAAATAATATATAATTAATTACCTTATGGTGATTTCAATTAAAAATGACCGTACCAAGACTAGCTCGTACAAAAATGTAAATTCTAGTTTCGCAAAGAAGAAAGCCCGCAAAGTGAAATTAGTGTTACCTGACTAGTTTTCATGATTAACATTTTATTGATAAAATTGTATTTGTTTTCTCTTTGATGAATTTGTATTTGTATTTTCTAGCTTCTCGTCACTTCAATCGTGAATATCGGTCTTTACAAACCCTGCGCATTTACACATACCCGTACAGACAAAGTTATTTTTATAACACATCTCTTTGTACTGCAATTACTTCTATATCCACAAATACTCCATTCAATTAAACCCAATGGAGAAGGAAGACAATATGCTGGAATAATTGAATCAAGAGATACACTTGACAAAGCCTGCAGGAGAAGGAAGATTTTTTAAATATTTGCGAGATCTTCTTAACACTAAAAAATAAGAACTTAACTTAGCCAAGGTTGATTTGTTATTGGGTATATTTTTAGGTCCATATGTGTTGATTACAAAGCTCTCAATACCTTAAAGAGTAACTTGATTCGGCAAAAACTCGGTATTACCTAACAATGATATTGCATACAGAATCTCGTCATTCGCAACCATGAATAACTTCCAACATGTTTATTATGATTTTCCTTAAAAGCTGCCGGTCTGGTCACATCTTTTTAACACATGTAAACCCAGTAAAGCTTCATAAAGTTTGAAACCAAGTGCCTCAAAGCAGTTCTTGATAATGATGTCGCGTTTTTCTGATCTTTTTTGAGTTCGTAAGTATGTTGCAAGATAAACACTGTAAAGAATATAACGGCGTTATGGCGTTATGTTTTACCGTTATGTTACCCGTTATGTTAGTTTAGTTATGTATTAATATGACATCATAGAAGTATTTGTAAAATAGGTGGATTTTTTTTTTAAATTTTTAAATGCAGAGTTGTTAACAAGCCCAAAAGTAGTAAGGACAAGGCTAAAACCAAAAGTTATAAGGCCAAGACCAAGAGTTTTAAGGTTAAGTCAAAAAATAAAAGTTTCAAGGCGAAGGCCTACGGAAACATTTTCAAGACCAAAGACTTAAATTTTTGCTTTACATTAAAGACAATTATTAACAAAACTGAAGGTAACAATTGCTGTGACAATAAAACCACATGTTGTAAATATAAAAAAGGTTGCTAAGACTGACGTCGAGGTGGGAGCGTAGCTCTCTTTATTAATAATGTTTTTATCTCTCATTAAGTTACAAAATCGGTGAATCCTTCAAATTAGTTCATAGCTTAATTAGGTAGCCATATGATGGTTACTTCATTGTCGCTAGTTTTAATATATTGACATTTCCAACGTCCAGTCACCGTTATGTTGCTCAAAACATATGTTGAACTTGTTATTTATCTACAGCAATAATTCTATTTTAAAAATTATTTCTAATGCTTTATGAGGTAATAACGCTAACGACCGCTTTAGTATCACTTGAGGAATTTTAGTTTCAGAACCGTTTCCCGAAAGTGAATCTCAGTTAGTTGTTTAGTTTTAGTTATTTAGCAAATGCAATCTAGCAAAGGTTATAACGATTCAATATTAAACTTTAATGTATCAATCAACTGGAATATTTTATTTCTGCATAAAACCGTGGATCAAATGTTTACTTTATTAGTTTGTAACAGTTGTACTGATAGCGAATATTTTATCCCCAAACTTAATAAAACAAAGATAAAAGTATGAGCCGTGGATTACTCCACATATTGAAAAATCTAATCCTAGCAAAAAAAATTTGCTTTGTATATCAACTGCTCAACTAAATGGAAGAATAATAAACTTAAAATAATCTGCTACCATCTTAATCGTTCCATAAAAGCTGAAATATTTCAACTTTTACGAAACGATTTTTATTTTAAAGCAAAAAGAGCACATAAAAAATAAATAATATTAATATCCCTCTGAATAATTTCCATTGTTAAAAAAGTGAAACTAATCTGAATAAACTTTTAATGACAATTTTTTTTTTTTATTTCAGGCATTATAAACTTACCAATCTAAACCCCTATAAATATTTTTCCAAAATCTTTTATAAATTCTTTAATTCTGGAATACTACTCAATCTCTAGAAATTAGCAAACTTTAGTTCGTTCTATAAAAAATGGAAGATAAAACATTTGCTGAAAAATATCGACCATTTCACTTAAGAACAAGTTATTTAAACACATTAACAATAATAAATTTTTTTTAGTGTTTTTGGGCAGCGAGTAAGAGAAATTGTCAGCTCTTTTATATATATATATATATATATATATATATATATATATATATATATATATATATATATATATATATATATATATATATATATATATATATATATATATATATATATATATATATATCATCATATATATATATATAT